TGGATTTTGGTGCTGGCCCACCTGGAGGGTGGATTTTGATGCTGTGTTTATCACAGCAGCTCAGCACTGTCCTGCTGGGTGCTGAGCAATGCACCCWGTGTCTGCTGGGTGGTTTTTCCTTTTCCAGCCCTTCCTCTCCATCAGGGTGGTGCCACTGCCTGCTGTACCCTGGGTTGCTCTCCCTGTTAGCAGCAGATCCCAGCTCCTTGCAGAAAGCAGGAGGGCAGGCTCTGCAGCTGGAGATGCTGGGAGCAGGCATTGCTGCTGGSAGGCAGAGCTGCAGCTCCCAGAGGCTGCGGGAGCCCAGCTGGGGCTGTGACACTCCCAAACAGGACACACGGCTCCAGCAGCAAAGGATCCCCGGGGAGATGCTGAGGTGCTGTCAGACCGGCTTATCCTGCAGGGCAGGGAGAGCTCCGGGTGTGGATCAAACTACCTCTAAACAAAGCTCTGCATGGGCAGCCCAGGTGCCAGGGCGGGCACAAACGCTCCAGGGAAAGCAGGCACAACAGAAAAGGCCACGGTTGTCACAGCACAGCCACAATGCCCTGCTGAGCTCATGTCACTGTGTGACCATCACCAGGGTGTGCAGGGTGCTTCAYGAAGCGAATGCTTTGCTCACGAGTTTAGATTTACTTCAGTCCAGAGCATTGTAAAAGCTACCTACCAAAACCTGCTTCAGGAACAGCACTGCATTTTTTCTCCTTGATATTATTCTCTTTTCTTTCCTCCTTGATAGACTGCAGTAGTAATCTCGTCACTTCAAAATGGAAACTCTTGCTCTTCAAAAAGCCTCGCAGTTCCCTCTGGGCACACAGCAGCACAGGGCTCAGAGGAATATGCTCTGGAACAAGGCTGATTCTCAGTGAGTTAAAGGCACAAGGTTACCCTTGGTGCCCCCAGAAGATTAGAARAAATTATGTCATCCCCCAGCAATCCTCTGGGCAGAGAACTGACACCACCAGTCTTTCCCTGCAGCCTCCATTACCAAATCCAAATCCTGGGAGCCTCTCCCTGATGGCTGCAGAAACCAGCTCAGAGCCAGCCCCGAATAACCTCTGTCACAATGAACCCCCAGCATTTACCTGCCAGGCCTGAATAACCTCTGTCACAATGAACCCCCAGCATTTACCTGTGTGGTTACCTATGGAGAAACTCCTGCCAGGAGGGACAGTGCAGTCCCGAGGCACAGATCGCTTGGGAAAGTGCAAATGGGAGAGAGCAGCATCGTTAAACCTCAGAGGGAAAAAGAAATGGAAAGAAGAAAGCACATCCCAGCGTGCTTACTGTCAACACCTCTGCTTGCAGGCTTCTGTGCCTGCTTTCAAATATTGCAAGAAAAGCCATTCTGGTTAAACTAGAGCACAGAAGTTGTGGGTTTCAGCCCTTTCACATTTATTTTGTCTCTGGATGAAGGGTGCTGCTCATTGCATTGAAGGGAAGCAACTTCTGTCACTGGGCAGAGGAGAGGAAAGGCTGCCCTCCATTACCTGCGATTTTCAAGAAGAAAACAAGAAAAAAATCCCCGGCAGAGAGCAGAGGACACGGACAGAGTTAGGGGGTGGATCCCACAACACTGAAATCTCTGTGCCAAGCACTTTTTCTCATTAGTGATTATTGGACTAGATGGAATAACTAATCTTTTTTATTAAAGTAACAAGGATTAAATCCTCTTTCATGGCCACACAGGCTTTGACTAAACAGAATCCCTTTCTTGGCAGTGAGAGGAATTACTGGTGGTGAGTCAAATCACTGTCTTCCAAGCAGCTAGATATTGGTATAAGCAAATGATGTTTTACACATTTAATGACTATATTTATGATCTAATTAAAGCATTTTTTTCTAATTTCTAGAAAAAAAAATAGAATAGTTCTTTGACTATTCATCAGTTTGTATAATCATCACAAAATCCTTTCTGAGAAATACTGAGCTCTGTCTGAGTAGTGCAGTTAACAGCCTTTGCAAAACCACTCAATGCGGGTGCTAATTATAACACAAAATGGTAAATGGAAAATAGAATAGAGGCGAGACAGCTTAGCAAAGCTAGACGATTATTTAATGAGATGCAATCTCGCTGTCTGATTGTCTTGACAAAGAAAGTGTGGGGTCAGTTATGGTGCTACACAGGAAATCCTTCAGAAGCCAGATAAAAACAAAATGGGACTGAACAGACGAAGCAGGAGAAGAACTGTAAAGTGGGCAAAGACACTGATCTGGGGGAGCTGCTGGATCCTGGCATAAGACATGAAGAACGGGCTGGAAATAGATGTGCTTGAAACACACAAGTACAATGAAATATTGTACAGGAGGTATCTGATAACCTTCAAGCCTGCAGTAACAGAAAACAGATAAAAATCAAAGTTTCGAAGTACAAAATGGGAGTAGGAGATTAGTAGTGAAAAAATCCAATACAGTCTGAGACCTTGTTAAATAAAATAGCAGCAGAGGAGAGAATTGCAGGTGTATCTGCAGATCATAGCTCATTTAAGTGCCACGGCTATGATTTGATAGTGGAAGAAGGCAAATACAATCCTCTGATGGACCAAAAGCATTTCTTAGAGAGCAGACATCAATGCCATCCTAAGCATCACTGAGTGGAGTGGTAAAACATCATCCTTGTCCAACAGGGATTTATTCAACCTTGACCAGGTGCTGTAAGAACACATGGGAATCAATGGGATGAAAAAACAGTGTGTCAGGGAAGGGGAAGGGAGGGAAGTTTGGGTGGAAGAAGAGGTTGAGAGGGGATGCAGTTGTACAGCACGTGAAAGAAGAACTAGAGCTGTTTAAAGGGAAATGTTTGTGTGAGTAAACCCAGGCTTAAGTGATTTATGGCTGTGTGGTTGGAAATGAAGCAGCAGAGCTGCAGGATGGGTGCCCAGAGCAGCTCACACTTGTGTCACCCTGGCTGTGGCATTTCCTCCCTGGTGTGAGCTGTTCACACACAGCCACATCTGCTCCCTGCCAGCCCTGGGTTGGATTCCAGACCCCAGCCTTTCTGAAACAGGGCCTCCACTTTCTTCAGGAACACAGAGTGAGGACAATAAAGCAAATTTTGAGAGAGATCCCCGCCCAATTAAGGTAGATTAAATGAGTTGCTGTGGTGGGAAGCCTTTTTTAGGAGCCAAATCCCTCTACAAGGGCCAGCCAGAGGAACAAGCCTCAGAGGAATCCARCAGGCAGGWACTGAGGCCTCCATCAGAAGAGAYTCCTGCTCTCCTCCAGACATGGCTRTAGTGGCTCCATTTTTAATAAATTCAAGTCTTACTCATGTTAGCAGGCAAGAAACAGCAAAACTTGCCAAACAACACAAAAGCTGTTGAGTGAGGCACTGGCTGTTTACYGTGGCATTGCTTCTTCCCCTGGTGTTCCATGGCTTAGAGCAACTCCCCAAGGGCTGGTCCCAGTCCATCAGGATGGWTTGTCCTGTCCCTGGAAGGATCACRGGGCACAGGCTGCCCCTCAGCACACTCGGGGTGTGTGGGGGTGATTTTGGRTTGATAAGTTGGTGTTGCATTCTCTGCTTAGGGAATGTAATAAACGTTCTCTCAGGCATGARGGATTTGTCATCCTTTCATTATGACAATTGTGCCAGTTTAAAACTGGTGGGGAAAGACACCAAGTGAGTTCCAGCGTTTACTAAACAAAGAGAAATGTTGAACAGAAAGGCAGAGTAACCTCACAGTGAGTTTATCACTCTCCCTTTGCTGCCTGTGGCAGTGGCTGACTGCTGGGGTGRTACCAACCCCCAGGATATTTCACTGACCTCATGGCAGCATTTSTGGGATGAGAAAGCTGTGTACACAGCTATGGGATATAGCTGATTGCATCTGAAAATATACAATTAAAATGTTGGGGCTGTGGAGCATCTGATCTGTGTTTCTGCCAGGTGGAGAGACCTATTTATAATAATTTTTTTTCACAGCAACAATGTATTCTGCCATTGGAATGTCCTAAAAAAATAGAGAGGTGTGAAGTGCTAAGTCCATTGCCAGAGTATTATCAAAAAGCCTTTCTGATGTTCCTCTCTGAATGGCAAAAGTTGCTGCTTCTCATATATTTCACTGCAGGATCCCTCCTGCAACGTGTGTGCATAATTTGCCCATGGAAACATTAGGAAAACCAACGTTTTGGGCTTGAGCTCCTGTTTCTTAAGGGGTGATGGCTTTTACAATGAACTGTAGTGCTGGAAATGTAACTACAACCTGTAGATTTACAGGGATTGTCTGCAGGAATTTATCCTAACCCTTGAAGAACCGAAAAAATGCACTTCAGATCTGTAAATCCCCACAGAAGCCCCAAGGCTGCCATCAGCCACCACMATCCATCCCCAAAGCTYCCCTGCTTCTCTCCAGCCCCAGCAGCAAGGAAGCAAAGCCACAAGCTCCAGTGCCCAGCAGCTGCTTGTCAGAGGATCTTTCCAAAGTACCAAAACTTCAGCTGTTGGCTTCCCAGTGGTGGTGGAAAGCAATAAAGTACCCRTTTATTAAATGGTAACTGCTGTGGGGACAGGGGATGGATGTATAAAATGCATTCAGTTTGTACAGAAGGGCTTGTATTGTGGATAAACTGCTCGAGGGAAGGAGCACACTCGTTCTCTTGATGGTTTCACAGCCCGTGATTTTACCATAATGCCCTAACATAAAGCTCAGACAACATTCACCACTGCATTTTCAATAACGTTATCCCTCTGTACTGCTTAATGCAGGCTCTCAGTGGAAAATGGCTTGTCCTGATCCTGTTGTGTGGCTGTGGGAGGAGCAGGAGTAGAACACAGAAATCCTGTCTTCCTGAGCTATGAATCCTCCCATCAAAACACTTCACCACTGGCTGGGTGGCACAACCACTACCCCACAAGTGGCATTTGCACTGAGATGACTCTGACCATTCTTTTAAGAAATATTAAAATTAAGAACTAAAAATTAAGATTTAAGAGTCAGAATTAAGGTAAGAGGAGCTGATGTGCCTAACAGCTGCTGCCTTTTTCTTTCTGTCTTCAGTGCAAGGAGTTCACTTTCCACACCGGCTATGAGGTGCTCGTGCAGCGGCTGCTGGAGGGGAAGAAGATGTGCAAAGATGTGGAGGATTTGCTCAAGCAGAGGTATGAAAATAAGAGTGAGAAAAGTGTCAACAGCTTCCTTTTCCTCTTGTTTGGCATCTGGAAGGGCATAGCAGGCTGTTTCTAAATTTGGTAGTGTTATGAGCTTACATAGAAAAGCCTGAGTGATTTGAATCCCAGCCTTGTGATATGAGGATAGATAACAAATAGAAATCTCAAATAGGTARCAAATAGAATTCTCAATTCCCTTCTTGAGGAGGGAAGAGAAGGCTGAAAGAGTCAGAAATCCAGAGCTCCACTAGGGCCCCTCATTATGRGTCCAGAATCACACAGCAGCACATATAACCACAAGCAGCATTTCTAAGTTTCCCCTTCTGCAGGGAAAAAATGACTTGCACATTTTTGTTTCTCTTTGAACATGCGCTGCCACAGGCACTGTTTCAGTTTCCTGCCAGTACCAAAAATGAGATGTTTTTCAAACACAAAGCTACATAAAATGCTACCTAAAGCCTTACCCAGACACCCAAATCAGCTCATGTAATTCACCAACCTTAGCAGGGATGAGTARCAATTTTGTAGTTTATGTCCCTGCTTTATGTGGTTCTTGGTGCAGCTATGGACAGCTGACAATTTTGTGGGTGAGAAAATACATATCACACTGCTGCTCTGGCTCCTTTGCCACTCATTTTTGTACTTGGGACTTAGAAAAATACATCTGAAATTTGGYTCTGTTTTTAAGCAGCTTCAATGGTTTCAACGTGCAGGATGAGGCATATCCCTGCTGATACAGGGAAGACCACACAATATGGATCAGAAATCCAGCAGGCAATCCCAGAGCAGCTCATCTCAGTACTGTCACCTTATGAATAATGCTCTGCCTTCCTCAGTCACAGAGGAGGTCCTGCTTTTTCTTCCCTTGCTGCCCCCATATAATTTTTTTGGGTTTAGGGTGGTTTTCTGAAGGCTGCTTTTAAAGCCCTTTAAAAAGGGACTTTCAAGACTCAAAGGTGGCTGTTTCACAGCGTATGAAGTCTCCCATCAAAACCTGAAGCTATTTGAGTTGCTTTTCTCGACCACCAGCGGCAGCCTGTTCTCCTGGCACAATCTCACAGTCCTGGAGTCACATCTGCCTGATGGCAGCTTGGCTGTACCATTTAAAACAACTCCTTTGTGCCTCAAACCTTACAGAAATCAGAACTGCACCACCAGCCTCGGGCAGTGCAATTCTGCAGCGGATGCTGCACACACTTGTGTTCCTTTCCAAAACATCAGAGAGGCTTCTGCAAGTTGCAGGATGAGGTTTTTCCTGGTTTGTGGTGGAGGCACAAAGGACTTTCCACGAAGAAAAAGAAAAAAATACATGTACAGTCATTTTGCAAACGTTTCCATGAGGTTTTTTACGCCCCCAAGACATTCCAGAGAGCGTGTGCACGTGTGTGTGCACGTGTGTGTGCATGTTGGGGGGAGGGAATGGAGCAGAGAAGTGGCACTGAGTTAAAGATGTGATTTCCAGTTTAATGCTGGCAGGTGTTTGTTTCAGCTCATCACATTGTTCATAGGARTGACCCAGGAGAAGGTCAAAGGATGGGATGAGTCTCTGTTTCTGCAGGCTGCCCACACCATGGCRTTGGTGTTGGAATTTCAACAAGGACTCTTGCAGCAGCTGCCCTGGCCACAGTAACCCTCGATCAGTTTTCCAACCACAAATCCCCCAAACTGGCCCAGAGAAAGGCCTAAGAGGTTTGGGAGTGAGAAAGCGGTTTTAGTCAAGAACAAAGCGCAGATTTAAAACACAAAGYGTGCTCCATCTCTGGATGGCTGCAGGGAAACCTAAAAGCTGTGTGCAGGAGTGCAGGAGAGTGGGAAAAGCAGCACCAAGATGTGAAGAGATGGTGTCAACCTCCTGGCAAATTCCTCTGACCCCAGGCTACCTCAGTCCCATCCATGCCTGAGGTTCCAGGAGCTGGGATTGGTTTAAAACCTGGCCATGCTTTTTCCCCGTGATTTTCTTCAGGGACCCACCCCAACAGCTGCTGTGGGGCAAATGTGCAAGGACAGCCCTCGAGCTGCTGGAACTCAGCAAAGAGAAATACAAAGCACTTCCTGGCCAAGTGGGAATACTGACGTGACTGAAACCCAGCAGGGTTGTAAGGTCCACATCAAATTCCTGTTTTGAACCAAGAGTACGTTTCTCTAAGGTGCCCAGTTTCAGGTCAAAATGAAACCACTTTTGAGAATTGGACTTACCCTAAACAAAATCATCCCTCCCCACAATGCAAGYACCAGGCTATGTGTTCATTATTTATTATTGCCCATTCAATAGCTTTTAGCAACTACTCCAAGACTGACAACTTGGTTCCACCCTGGTCTTGCACCCAGGAGTAAGGAAGTGACACATTTAGTACAAATACTTTTAAACATAGAATAGAAGCTTTCTTCAGTGCTGGGGGAGGGGAAAACAGCAAAGGAATATTTGTATTTCTTTATTAACCATAGAAACAGAGCTGCTTTCCTGAGTCACCAGTTACAGTTCCCCTTTAGGTGAGACACCACACATTGTCCCTTCCACAAAACTCCCTCCCCACACAACTCCCAAGGCTCCTTCCCTCGGCCTCCTCTGCAGCTCTTCATCTTTCTAATGGTTAGGAATATTCCTGTTATCCCAGCTCCCATTAATTCTCAACATCTCTTAAATGGATCCTTTAGAACCTACCACTCCCCTCACAACCCGTGTTTTAACAGATCAAGTCAKCATTTTTAGGTTCCTTTTGCTCTGTTCCGACCACCTCCACCTCACTTCTGTTCACYTTCTTCTCATTGAATCCACATTTTGGGGGCAGAGTTGTTCTTAGCACTCTGCAGTAATCAAACCCATGARGATGAGCTTTGTTTTCCCCTCATTTCTTCTAGAAATAGCTTACCCAAACTATTATCGAGGTTAACTAACAGCACTAGGATTGAGGAGATAAAGAAATTAAATAAATTGCATTTCTGATGTTTTGTACCTCAGACACAATTACAAGATTTGTGTAAATGTGATCCCGGTACCACTAAGTGAAATTGAGTAAGTTTTTCTTTTAACAGAGCACAAGCAGAAGAGAGATATGGGAAAGAGYTGGTTCAAATCGCCCGAAAAGCAGGAGGACAAACAGAAATCAAGTAAGGAATTCTTTTATTATTACAGCAAACAAAATGATTCTGGAAGAAATATCAGGCTCCTGTGTTTTGCCTCTGAATGGGGTCACAGCCACTCACYTCAGTGCATAAACAGCACTTCACAATGTCCAGGGGAAGTGGGGAAACAGCACAGTCCTTCACAGGAGGATTCACAAAGTCTCTGTTTGGAAACTGCCAGCAGTCCTTTCCTGACAAATTTTTTTTTTTTTTTAAATTTCATGATTCCTAATGTTTAATATTTGCTTCCAAAAGCAAACTAAGTAATGGGGGAAAAGGGAAAGGAAAACGTTGTGAAATGTTTAGGATGGTTGTTTAACAATTCTGGAAAGCTGGTGAACACTGAGAAACTGTGACTGAACAAAGACCCCAAAAATCAGCTTCTGCAGCAAGAAAAAAKGCTTAGCTTAGAAAGCTAATCCCTTAGAAAGGACTTAATTTGAAATAATTCAATGGAACTACTGAAATACACTAGACTAAAATAGRCGACATCTATTTTTCTCTGTCTCCTCTACTACTATCTTAAATCACGTATAAATTGTGTTGGGAGGGGAAGATAGATGTTGGCATGGAATTTAACTTAATAAACATTACTGATAAACTGCTGCTATTATTGATGGCAGCAGYAATAATGAGACATTCTGTCATTATTGTAACAAGTAATAATACAGTRATAAGGTGGCAGAGGATGAAGATGTGGGGTCATGCAAGAGAAGCCTGAAAGAGAAGACCTCAATCTAAACACAAAACAGCTCTATTGATCCCTGGGGCCTGCTCCCCTCATCCATCCCATCTCTCATTCCTTAATTGCAGCCTCCTTTTCATGTCAATTTATTGCTCCCAGTGCAAGTGTGGTTTCCTGTTCATATTTTATGGGACAATTTGACCTCAAAGCCTGGCAGTGCCGTGGCAGCGAAGGCACAGAGCCCCGGTGCTGGCACAGCCAGGCTGGCACAAACTGCTGCCAGCAGTTATCCCATGTGCTGGGTAATCCAAGAGAACCTGCAAGGCTTTCCCTGCCAGAGCTCCAGCTCTGCCTTGCCTTGAGCAGGGATTCCACAGCTCCTTCTGCCTGCCCGCTGTCCCAGCTCACCGACCTAAGGGGTGAAAAGGAGGGACAAGAAGAAATGTTCTGAGATTAAAACATCAGATTAAGGATGAATGGCTTCTTCCCAAAACAAAGGCTATTCCAGCATTCCAGGATTAAAGAAAGGCTTCACCTCAGCTCCTTTACTGGCAATGCAGGGCAGGCAGAGCAAACGTGTTCAACAGCAAGCAGCTTTGGCTGCCCTTTGGTGGCTTAGTGGACAGTTCACAGATCTGACTTTTCCTAAGAGATGATGAGAGCTTGATTTAGAGGCAGAGCCAAGTSCCAGTGTTGGGATATGGATCCAAGTCCCCCTCAGGTTGGGGGGAGTTTGGACTTGGGCCCAGCTCTGCTTTGATCCAGCAGTTTTATAGGCTGGCATGGAGGGAAGGCTGAACAYAGACCAAAGCTGTGCTCAGAGCTGATTGACTGTGTTTGCATAACCCACGCCTGCTCTGGGGAGCCACCAGCTCTGCACTGATATTCTTATCAGAGCAAGTGTCTCACTGTGTCTGTTCTGAGCAGAGAGGACACTTGGCTCTCTCTCATCCTTTTAGAAATTACACAGACAGTGAAGAGCATTTGTCTGGAGCAAACAAAAAAATCAGAGAAAACTTAAGTCTGTTCAGGGCTGGAATAACTCAAAAAAATGAAATGTTTGGTTTAAATGTCATAAAATTGTTGAATTTTCTGTGTGTGTGTTCTTTTTGGAGTGAAGTTTCTGTTTGTTTATGTGACATTGATTGCTGGCAGCAGTTCTGCTCCCGAGGTCAGTCCTTCAGGGAGACTCAAGGGAGGGAATGTATGGACTACCCATAATAAGAAAAGCTTGAAAGGACTCTGCTGCAACTGTCCCAGTGCATTTTTCCAGGAGTTTCCTCTTTATAGAACTCCCTATTATCATCAAGCATACTGTGTCCTAATAGAATTACAAGTACTTGACAGGCTGAACAGGGCTGTTCCCATCTTCAAATGCAGTTTGGGTAGCAGTATTTCTTAAAGTCTATTGTATTTGCACCTAAAACTTCCATCTGATAATCACCAGGAAAAAAAAAAAAAAAAAAAAAAGTCGTTTTCAGGGTTTTTTTTGCAGAACATTTTACAGACCTTCCTGTGCCATGCTATGTATGGCAGAAGAGCAGGAATTACTAATTTTAGTTCACTCA